TTGGTGGGACTACCCCCCGTGCTGCCCAGCGCTGAATGAACATACCTACTTTACAATCTCACTGATTGTGGAGTCTGTTTTCCGCATGTCAGTTTGGCGAGCCAGCCAGGAGACTCTCTGCTCGGCTGCGGGACCGACTGCGGAGCGGACGCCCCTCGGCGTGCCCCGAGCACTTTCTTCACAGGAGCCTCCGCTGCCAGCCGCTCACCGCGGGAGCAGACAACAACCTCCTGAAGCCGCGGACCAAACGGTATGTTTTACAAGGGGAGCCTGTAAAAGTACGGGCCGGGGCAGCTGGTAAATAGCACAGAGACGTCTGGCGTGCAGCGTAGTCCCCGTATGGGAGGAGGGTACCCTGTATGGGGGGATTTGCTGACCAATAGAGCGGCCGCTAGCGATCTTGGGGGTAGATCGAGCAAATCCGGGGTGACTGCTGCATCCCAGTATTGGGAGCCAGGACGGACCTGTCGATGACTGGTATATAAGAGGTAGGAGAAGGGTAAGCGCACCCCCTCGCACCCCCTCGCAATTGCGCTTGGTTTATTTTTGCAGCTGCTGAAGGTTGTCAACTGGAGCGATGCTTGTATGATGTGAATGTTTGGAAATTTATGTTAAAGATTTTGTGTGAGAATGTGAAAATGCTATGTTGAGATTTATACGTGTATATATGCTCGTTAATGTGTAAATATCTAAAACTGTGGATTAAATGTTTGAGTAAAAGAGACACAGCTCAGCTGCGGAGCGTGTGTAGAGTTCTGCTCCACAGTTTCGTAACTCCACAAGGGGTACAGCCGGAGACAAACGAAGTGTGACTCACTGATGATTTGAAACTTGAATTTATATGTTAAAGTTGTAATTATAAGTTTGAGTTTGATTATCTTAATCATTTTGTGGTGTTGGTATAAGAAAGTCCCTGTATGGTGCATCGGATAAATGTGGGTATTTGAGTGGTGTCTTTTACATCCAGGAAATGAGTGTATGCCCTCATATGTCCTGGAATGTGTGTGGTGTAAACAGAGGTTGCAAATAGATTGTGGGGGGGATATTGAATACCCTGAGTGTGGGGTTTGGATTCCCTGGGATAAGAGGGAACGAGCTACGTACACAGTTGGGATTGTTTGTAGTTGGAACGATAGCTGAAATAGTGAAATTGGTGTGTGAAAAGGAAAATTTAATCCCGGAATTCGGGACATGTGAGAGAAAAACTGGGAGAATTCTATAAAGAGGTATAAGAAACAATTTGCATGGAATCGTATTAAAAGGAGAAGTAATAAAATGGGAAACAATCAAGGGGGAATATTGAGGAAGAGTCCTCTGGGTTGTGTAATTACCCACTGGAAAGATATTGTTGGGACTGGAGGTACGGAAAATAAAAAGAACCTTATTAAGTACTGCAATCAATGGTGGCCGTTGTGTAAGTTAGAAAGTGATGCTAAGTGGCCACTTAATGGGTCAACAGATTATAATACTCTATTACAACTAATGTTGTTTTTAAGGAGAGAAAGAAAATGGGATGAAGTTTCATATGCAGACATGTTTTTCACCCTCCGAAACCATCCGGAGTGGCAAAGGGACTGTGGAATAGTACCCCCACAGGACCCCATGGTGCTCGCAGTTGAGCGAGAAAACAACAAGGAGCTTAGAGGTAAACTGAGGCGGTGCTGTTCGGCATGTAGTATTGGACAAAGATGTACAAAGACAAATAAAATTCATCAGGTACCAGAACAAGATCTAACTGATTTGTTTAAGCCTCCCCCTCGACCACAGGAACAGGATGCAGACTCGGATAGAACTCCGACCCCCCTGAGCAGTCCTGTATCCTCCCGTACTAGGAAGAAAATTGCCTCAACAGCTTTACAAGTACCTCTCCGAGAGGCGGTGGGGCCAGAGGGTGGGACGATGCTAATCAAAGTACCCTTTTCTACTGCTGACCTAGGGGAATGGAAAAACGTTGCAAAAGATTATAGGAGTGATCTGGTAAGTGTAACTAAACATTTCCAATTTATTGTAAAACAGCATAACCCTGATTGGAAGGATTTACAGCTATTATTGGAATATATGACCGAGACAGAGAAACAGCTGATTTTAAAAACAGCAGGGAACCTAGCTGAAGATCATTATAAGATTACAGGAGGGGACATTAAGGAATATTTCCCTCTCCAAGACCCAAAGTGGGATGTTAATAGATCTGCACATATGGAAAGATTGCAGGGGTATCAGGATTGGATTACAAAAGGAATGGAGAGGGCAATCCCCAAAACTATAAATTGGTCAGCTTTATATGCAGTCAAACAGAGTCCTTCCAAGTCTGCATCTGAATTCCTGGATCGATTGAGGGATGTAATGCGCCGCAGCACACCGCTGGATCCTGGGTCAGAGGTAGGAGTACAACAATTGGTCTCCCTGTTTTTGGGTCAATCTACAGGGGATATAAGGCGCAAACTTCAGAAATTACACCCTACAGAGGGTAGGAATTTAGAAATATTATTGGATGAAGCATGGAGAGTATTTAGTAACAGAGAAGAAGGATATAGGCAGGGGCAAAGAAAATTAATGGCTGTTATCCAGGAAGAAAGAGGAAGAGGGCCTAGACGAGACTTGCCCCGACTGGGCAAGGATCAATGTGCTTTGTGTAAGAAATTTGGTCATTGGAAAAAGGAATGCCCAAAGAACAAGAAGGAGGATCAGGGGGCTCAAACAGGAAGAACAGTAGCCCATGTGGAGGGAGATTGACGGGAACCTGGGGAATCTACCCTAGCAGATCCACTGGTTATAATTAAGCTAGGGAAAACACAACAAGAAATAGAATTCTTGGTAGATACGGGGGCAACATACTCGGTTCTGAACCAAGCCTTGATGCTCCTGGGAGATTATTATGTCATGGTGAAAGGAGCAACTGGTCAAAGTGAAAAGGCATATTTTTGTAAACCTTTAGAATATAAATTAGGAAAAAAGTGGGGCATTCATAAACTTTTATATATGCCCAACTCCCCAAAAGCACTTTTGGGAAGAGACTTGTTGGAACAATTGGGAGCAAAAATTGTATTCGAAAAGGGAGAAATTACTCTGGAGGTAAAAGATCAGCAATATATTCAAATATTGAGCCTAACCTTAACCAGTCTCCCC